ATCAGCTGAGGACACATTTCTTACAACGTATCTTCTTCATTAAGCAACACACGACTGTAAATAGATCCTTTCGCCTGTATTTTTCCCAGGTGAGAATTTTTTCGTTCTATTTACATTAGCCTTGCAATAAATCCCCTTCTTCTGTGTGAATTTTCTCAAGGTCATTTTTTTTAAACTTTTATTTTTTTTTTCAGCTTTATTGAGATATAATTTACAAACAAAAGTTATACCTATTGAAGGCATACAACTTGATATTTTGAGATATGTACACATTGTGAAATCATTACTATAATCAAGTTAATTAACATATTCATTACCTCACATAGCTACCATAAAATCATAAGCTGTGGGAGTTTTCATTTTATAAGCATTACTAATATAATTTTTACTGCCCTTACTTAAAGATTTAGAAGAAAATTATTGAAATTAGTATCATATGTGTCTCACTAAACACTATTACTGTTAGGCTTACCCAAGGCTTTTTAAAATCAAAATAAGGCAAGGAAGGACACACACTTTTTCCTTGTTTTTGTGGAGAGAACACTTAAGATCTGCTCTCAGCAAATTTCAAGTTCTGGTCATCTAATGGTGATTATAATTAACAACACTGTAGAGTATAATTAAAATTTGTTTTGTTTTTTAAAAATCACCATGAACATTGTGAGTTTTCTTTAAGCAAAGTGGATACTTTTCCCCAGCCCATAATTTAATTTTCAAATGCCTGATGGCATCTAAAATATTTAAAATAGTATAAGTTAGTGAAACATAATAAAATTTCTGACATTTGTATTTTAATTGAAGAATTCTAATTTATTTAATTGGCAAAATAAACAATAATTATATTTGTTTGCTTCTACAATAAGCTAGTGCACAAATGACCGAATTCATCTAATGTGATACAGTTAAAACCATTTCTTAATTTTAGGGCTGATAGAATACATAGCTTTTTAATTAATTTATGTATTTGTATGTATAAATAATAGTTGTACATACAGTTGTACATATAATAGTATATATATATATATATATATATATATATATATCAGGGTAAGTCGGATATTAGTCATACCAAACATTTATCTTTTTCCTATGTTGGGAAAACTACAAATCTTCCTTTCTGGCTGTTTTGATATACATAATAAATTATTGTTAACTATAATTTCCCTACTATGCTATAGATATTTAAACTTATTCCTTCTATCTAAATGTATTTTTGTACCCCTTAATCAACTTCTCTTCATCTCTCCCTCCCTGTTTCTCTTCCCTGCCTCTGGTAATCACCATTTTACTCTCTACGTCCACAAGAGCCACTTTTTAAATTCTTACCTACGAGTGAGAACATGTAATATTTGCTTTTCTGTTCCTGGTTTAATTAATTTACTATATGACCTCCAGTTCCATCTATATTGTTGTAAATGACAGGATTTTATTCTTTTTATGGCTTAATAATATCCCATTGTGTATACATACCACATTTCCTTTATCCATTCATCCGTCGATGAACACTTAGACTGATACCATATCTCGGCTATTGTAAATCATGCTGTAATGAACATGGGAGTGCAAATATCTCTTCTCTATACTGATTTCCTTTCTTTAGAACATATGCCCAAGAGTGAGACTGCTGGACCATATGGTAGTTCTATTTTTTTAGTTTTTTGAGGGATCTCCATATGGTTTTCTGTAACAGCTATACTAATTTACACTCCCACCAACAGGTTTGTTTTAATTTTATTTTTATTAAAGTGCATGACTTTAATCTGTTTAAATCAAATTATGTCTACTCTGTATTTTCTACTTCATTATTAAATTAATTTAAAGACACCTAAAATGAAAATTTTTCACTGACTTTAAAATCTTTGAAAATTAAGATGGTGAAATGTTCATCCACTTTTTTTCCATGTTTGTTTGTTTGTTTATAGAGATGAAGTTTTGCTCTGTCATCCAGGCTAGAGTGCAGTGTTGACATCATATCCCACTGCAGCCTTAAACTTGACTTAAAGGATCCTCCTGCCTCAGCCTCCCAAGTAGCTGGGACTACAAGCATATACTCCTATGACTGCCAATTAAAAAAGTATTTTTTTTCTTTTTTTAGATATGGGATCTCACTATGTTGCCTAGTCTGATCTTGAATTTCTGGCCTCAAGAATGTCTCCAACCTTGGCCTCCTAAAATCACTTTTTTCCCCTAATTTCCATTTGTTTTTGAAAAGAAACCGACATGGTTAGAAATTTAAAATGATCTTTATTTTATACATTGCAGTCTTTTTTTGAAGTGGAAAACATGGTAAGCATGCATTAGATCTCAACAAAAACTAAAAGACTAAGTGAATAAAGCCTTCAAGCCACCCATGTTTTATTTGTAATTTATCCTAACAAAATATTAAAAATTTTAAACCTTTGGGTGCTTTTAAAGAAAATCTGTATTTACTTTTACAAATATCTTAGAAGTAAGATGTCTAAAAATTTCTACTTTTTAAAATCAAATAGACTCAGAATTTTGCAAGCATGGGAGTACAAAGCAAAGGCATTTTAATCTTCCCATTCTGACACAAATATGTCCCTGAACTTTTAAATTTTTAATTGAATAATACATAATCCACTCTAGTAAATTTTGGCCTGAAATCATTCTTAACAAACCCTGACAAAATAATGACTCTCTTTTACAAATAGTTTACCTTCAGTGTTTCCTTACTACCCTTGACTAGATGTGGGCTTTCTATAGGGACATATGAGGACTTTCCTCCCCACAGACCCAAAGGGCCCCTGTTTCTTTTTTCTGGAGAGCAGCCAGGCATCACTTCATTTTCCTGTCTTCAAAACCTTGCCAATCCTCCCAGTCCTCAGAAAATAGCAAAGTTTTTAATTCCCTGTTTTCAATATATTCTTTGGACGAAATTTGCCATTTGAAATAGTATTTTGTTGTTGTTGTTGTTAATCACATTTACACGAAAAAAAGCTACAAGAATAGTTAATTTAAGAATACATTTTAAAATAGTAAGGGTTTATCCTATGAATCCAAGAGAAGAACTTGAGTGTCTAAAATACACATTTTTCAGCCTGCTGCAATTTCTGGATTATGAACAGGTAACCCCAGTGTGGGTAGACAGTTTTTCCTTAATAGTCAAATATTTTTAACCCTGGAAAGATTTGGAATTACGTATAGTGATACAGAAAGTAACACTCCGATATTTATATTTTTGTGTTTGGTTTAGAAATAATTTTTGTATTTTAGATATCATAAATGCTTCAGATACACATTAGGATGGCATTTATCCACTTAAAGCATGCTATTGAATAATTCACTTAGAGTTTCGATTTAAGTTAAAAATAATCATAAAGGCTGGGCGTGGTGGTTCATGCCCATAATCCTAGCACTTAGGGAGCCTAGGCAGGCAGATCGTCTGAGGTCAGGAGTTTCAGACCAGCCTTGGTGAACATGGTAGAACCCCACCTCTGTTAAAAATACAAAAATTTGCCAGGTGTGGTGATTGGCACCTGTAATCCCAGCTACTCTGGAGAATGAGGCAAGAGGATCACTTGGACCCGAGAGGTGGAGGTTGCAGTGAGCCGAGATTGCTCCATTACACTCCAACCTGGGCCACAGAGTGAGACTCCATATCAAATAATAATAATAATAATAATAATAATAATTATACAACCAATATCAATACATTTAAGAGGACTTAAAAATAACATATTTATAATATTAATTATTAGATTTAAAGACATTCTTTAGTGTGTGGAAATAGTTTGTTAATTATGACAGACAACTTGTAAGAAAATGGAATATGTTGATTTCATAAATGCATGTTGAAATAACTTAGGGTATTTAATTGATCAAAGGTTAAAAATCCCTATAAAATGCCATAGTATTTACAAGTTATATTTAAAACTTTCAGAGGAACTTTACATTTGAATTGTTTGTAATTTTAATGAGTTAATTCTTAATTTAAAATACAAGGTAATTTTTGCATATCTTTGCTGTATTAAAAAATTAGGCTAACGAACACCAAAAAAAGTGCACATTGATGGTGTAAAGGGTAGTGTGAATATTTCAGCTGAGAACTAATGATAAATGTGATGACAGCAGTGACGAGGAAACGGTGCAGAATTATTAAAAGAATTGTCAGTGGCCTGAAATGTGAATAATTTTATTCCTATTCAAATAACATTGAGTATTTATTCAATATTTAGAGGAATTGGAAAGGAACCAATTTTTATTCAAATAAACTGTATGCATGAACAAATCCCCTTAGCACTCAATTTCCAGTGGAGGAGCCAGAATCAGTGTTTTAGATATATATTTATTTAACGTATTTTCTATTTCTCTGCATGTGCACTTCAGTTTTGTTTGTTTATTGGTTAGTTGGTATTTCTATGTATGTCCATGCTATTTTTAGACAACTTTCTGGGAAGTATTTTAAAGAATTTAAAGTTGAGATTGAACATTTAAATCACTGGTTTTTTGCACACTACAGAATACGTTATTGGCTTGCAGCGCTCCACCCTATTGCCCACTGTAGTTGCGTCCGCACATTGAAAAAACACTGTGAAGACTGGTCGGCATATTAATGTCCTCTCCAGGTTGCTGGCTGCTCTAGAGGAGCAGGGCAAATTTACACTCCCAATCACATAAAGAATTAACTGTGAGAGCATTATTTAACCCTCTGACCCTTCAGAAGGACCCTGGAGAAAATTCATCAAGTTGTTAGACACAGAAGCTACAACAGGGAGTCAAAGAATTCTCGTAATTTTCCAACCAGGGTGATGGGGAGTGTGACCAAGTACCTGATAGACACAGGAAATACTGAGGAGTATGGACGATGATGAGTCCATTTGGAGTATACTGAGTTGAAAAGCTGGTTGGAAACGCAGGACTGAAGCACAAGACAAAAGCCAGAGTAAAAGAGGGAGAGGTAATAGTTATTTTTTTGGAGATAATATTGAAGCTGTAAGAGAGTTAAAGAGTTTACAGAGAAGACGAGACCTTTGATAACGATGGTGCCTCCTGGATTGCAGGCTGAAGAAAACCTCAGAGTGAAGAAGAGCACAGGGCCACAGGCATTAAACTTTGGTGAGATTCTGTTGATTGAAGTAGTGGCTCACACAGCGTGTGTGTGTGTGTGTGTGTGTGTGTGACGTGCACACATGTGTGAATGTGCACATTTAGTATGAATGCATATTTAGTAATGCGTTATTATACATACAAATCTAGATTTTCACGTGGTCCTGAAGAATTCTCTGCATGGCATCATCAATTCGTTGCCATGGGACATGCATTTTCCTGCTTGACTTCAGTTCACAGCACTCAGATATGCATCCTTTACAGTTACACTGCACTGCTTCCCGCCATCTCTGCTCATCTTTATGTTTTTGAGTTTCCGTCGACAGTCCATGGAATCAAACAGAAAACATTCAGGATGCATAGTGGTGCTAAACTTGAAGCTGAACCGTTTAGATTTATATTTTTTTGTTAAGCATGTGCTTTACTTTGTATGTATTGTGGGTTAAATTGCATCTCCCCAAATTCGCTCACTGAACTGTAACCCCCCCAGTACCTCAAAATGAGACTTATTTGAAAACAGGGTCATTACAGGTGCAGTCAATAAAAACAAGGCTATAATACAGGAGGGTGGACCTCTAACCCAATATAACTGCACCCTTGTTATAAGGGGAAATTTGGACACTGACATGTGTGTACAGAAAAGAACGCTATGTGGAGATGAAGGCAGGAATTTGCAGGCCAAGGAAAATCAAAGACTGCCAGCAAACCACCCGAAGCCAGGGGACAGGCACAGAACAGACTCTCCCTCGCAGCCCTCAGGAGGAATCAATTCTGCTGACACATCGATCTCGGATTTTTAGTCACCGGAACTTTGAGACAATACATTTCTGTTTTTCATGGTACCAAGTTTGTGACAGTTTATTAAGGTAGTCCTGACAAACTAACACAGATGAAAAGCATCTTCTTCCTGAAAGGCAACTTTTGACTCTAAAGAGCACAGGCAAAGCTTCTTCCCCGCAGTGACACCGTATTATAAAAACTGAAAAAGAAAGCATGCCTAGAAATAACATTTGGCACATTTAGAAAAGATATCCATTTAGTGGACTGTGTGAACAGGTCCCCAAACTCAGAAGCAGAGAAGCCTAGGTCTGAATCCTGTTCCTTGGGATGACTATAGATTTGGAGGCGTGTTACTTGGTTTCTTTTAGCCTAGGATCTTTTCTATATCTGAGTCACAGTTGTATAGATCTCCTGGCAGTGCTTAAAGAGTAAGTGAGAAAAAAACACATAAAAGGACCAGCACAGTGCAAACACAGAATAAAGACTCAATGAACTGTAGCTAATATTCTTATCAGCTATTATCAATCTCTCTTACTGTTTTAGGAATCACACATCAGAACATTAAAGTTATGCATTAAACATTAAATCCTTAGGACTGTTACAACTTTGGCTTTGCATTTTTAGGATCACCATTGACTTCTTATGACATACTTCTAAGAAAGCTATGGCTTGCTGGTGTATGAATGTGAGTATAAAGAAAAACATAGACTAGGCCAACTTAACTGGAGTTGAATATTCTGGAAAATTTAATGTACCATTAAATGGTGCTTGCTTTAAAAGTAGTGTGAGGTCAAGTCCACAGAGTCAATTGTACGTAGTGGCTGCTAATAACACTTTACAGGTGTCTTATCACCTTCTACATCATAAATGGTTTATGAGTTTATTTCTACCTCTGAAATGTAAACTCCTTGAAGGCAGAGACCTTGTTTGTCTTTTTTACTCTCTAGCTTCAACACACAGTGGCATAACTAATGCCATCCTCAGTAAACAGAGAAAAGAGGTAACACTACTTAAAAGACGGTGTTATTTTGTACTTCCCAGTCTACTGAAATTAACATTATACTTCATAAAGTGCTGGCTAGGGTAAAGTTATAGAAAATATTTTCCTTAATTCTGATTTTGTTTCTCACTTTAATAAAATGCTCCATTTTTTTTAGGATTAAAGAACATTTTTGAATGATATATGTTAACGGGTTACATTTATCTGTGTTATTTTCCAGAACCTTTCCATAATAGCTCAAGTTACAATTTTTGAAATGCTTGGCTACACATATGCTTAATTATATTACTCAGGCCCTAAAGCCTGTGGTATACATTTATGCATGTATTAAAGTTAAAAATTAGCATTTAACATATAATTTTATTCTCTTTTATACACTTTATAAATCCCACTTTTATAATACACTTTAAAGGTAAGTGGAGCTGCAAAGAAATATGTGCAAAACAAACAAACAAAAATGGGTTAATAAGCTGAAAACAAGATATCCTGACACAAAATGTTGTTTCTTGCTTAGTCAAACTAAATTTATTGCGTTTTTTTTTCACATGTTATTCTTCAAAGTACAAACCAGGAATTATAAGAACCTAGCTGGCATGTAAAATTAAGAACCCAAAATATATGTATTTTAGCCCAAAGTTCAAAGGAAACGTGCGTTTTATCATAAGACAAATGTAAAAATGTACACCTATATGTATATACTATGGTAAAATAATTCAGGACTTTATTTTTAATTTGTAAAATTATTTTTAGAATTGTGTAAATAAGGAACAACCACAATAGTTTGTTTTAAATGATATCATCTTTCATCATTGAAAAGTAAGTTTTATATTCATGATGAAAATTTATAGCTATTTGTGGTTTTGATATCTTACGGAGAATGAGATGACCTCAATTCAGTCCTAAAAGACAGCTGGCATGATTTAAAAAAATACCTAATCCATGTAGCATTTTATTTATAAGCAAAGAAATGAAAAGCGTAAAAAGCCGTCTTTACTTTTATCACTGCAGAGTTTCTGGTTGACATGGGAACAGGTGGTGTGGGGGATTACTATTTAAGATTTCAATATTAGTTTATTTTAAGACAATGTAAAAGGTGTGTGTGTGTGTGTGTGTGTGTGTGTGTGTGTGTGTGTGTGTGTGAAAGAGAGAGAGACAGAGAGAGACAGAAAGAGAGAATAAATAGATTTTCTTGTGATAAATAGAAATCCATTTCGACCAGAAAATTCTTTAAATCGAAGTTTTCTCAAGCATCAGTTGGGCAAGGCAATCTTCTCTGAGCCCCATATGTTCTTGTACATACTTGCTGGGTATGCCAAAAATGCCAGACCTTGTCCTGTCTTCTTAACCTGAAGCATTTCTTAGGATTGTGTTTGTCCTTCAGGCTTGCTTTCTTACTAAAAAAGCGGTGGATTTCCCAAGCTCCCATTTGACAGTTGTGATGATACATCATCAGTTGTGATGATATGAATTTTGGTATTCTCCTGGCCTGTTATGCCACCCATGTGGAATGTGGTAGGTAGAGGAATCAGTGCAGACTTGATGTTCATGCTGCTTGCTTGTCTCTGACCCGGAAGACTTGCTTCTTCTGCCAGTATCCATGAAACATTGACAGGTTTATTAGGAGAAAACCGCACACCCAGTAGTATCTCAGAAATGAAATTGGAAATTGTATGTAGTAAAAAGGGCCCTCCAGAGGGGCATAGAAGAGAATTTTGTGTTAAGAACATCATATATATATATATATATATATATATATATATATATATATATATATTTTTTTTTTTTTTTTTTTTTTTTTTTTTTGAGACATGATCTTTCTCTGTTGCCCAGGCTGGAGTGCAGTGGTGCAATCATGACTCACTGAAGTCTTGATTTCCCGGGCTCAAGTGACACTCCTTCCTCAGACTTTCAGATACCTAGGACTACAGGTTCATGCCACCATGCCCACCTAATTTTTTGTATTTTCTGGAGAGATGGGGTTTCACCATGCTGATCTTGAACTCCTGAGCTCAAAAGATCCTCCAGCCACAGCCTCCCAAAGTGGAGGGATTACAGGCCTGCACCACCATGCCCAGCCAAGAATATAATTCTTGACAATCTAAGGTGGAATCACAATATAGCTAATATTTTTTAATTCACCATTTTCTTTTGATATAGAAACATTTAGTGGAACCAAAATTAGTTACAAACCACTTTCAACGTAATTAGATACAACAAAACAAATCTTTTGTACTGAGGTATTGTTAAATGCTAGTCTTATTTAAAGAAAATATTTTATAACTACTTTGACAGCAATTTAGAAGAAAAAACACACCTGAAAGCCTTTGAAATACATTAAATGACAGCGTATTTTGAGTTTTCCAACATCAAGATGACAATTTATAATTGGATTGTTCTGAGCAGTATTGATCTGAAGGTCCAACTGTCTCCTTATTGAATATTGTATGGAATCATAAAACACTTGTAATATAATTTTACCATGCCAGTTTTTCTTTTATGAACATTTTTGGAGACAGCAAGCTTAGGTTGAAAGCACTGGATTGCAGGTACTCAGCATGGAAACTAAAGTCTCTCCAAGAACCTCAGTAAATATGTTAATATTCCGAGACAGACGATTCTGATTCCTCTACAGCCTCTTAGATTAGGTGCAAAATGATACTCTCATGTTTGAATTTTTTAAAGAAATGCTGTCAGAGCTACTTCACATCTGTTAAACCATCTTTTAGTTTAAAACAAAGATGACTGACTACCCTGATGACTGTCCCAAAGATGATGCCACCAGGAACACATACTATTTTATGATCACGGAAAGAAAATGGGCATTATGAAAAAGGAAAGTGTGAGCATATATTTGAAAATACTACTTTAATATAAAAAATGTGAAGAATCTTTTGGTCTGTTAATTTTACATTTTGCATCTCTTAGTATCTGTGATGTTTGTGGCTCAGAACTCTTATTTCATCCTGAAGAAGGGCCTAATGGGGATCCTTGGACACAATAATAATGAGCTCCTGGCTTATTTTTTCTTACATAGTTCATAGTTTCTGTTTATCCCTCTCTCTTCTTACTCTGTGGTTTAATGCATGTTGCTTATTGTTAAATTACTTATTTTCCTCTTTCTTCACATGGCTTTTAGATGTAACTTTATTTTTTAGCCCATGTGTTTGCAAGAAAAAAATTCAGGGGTTGTCCTTTTTTTTTTTTTTTTTTTTTGAGATGGAGTCTCACT